TTGTGCCCTGAATCTATCAGTGCTTAAATACTGATCTACATTCTTCTCAAGCTTTCAAAAGAACAACACTCAGAAGTAGCCTCGAACCATTTAGAAAGGAAAGCAACAGAGACAGCTCTCTCATTTCAGTTCTTTCAGTCTAGAAATGCACACACACAACTACCGTGTGTTGGCCTTTGTAACCAACAATTCGCCAGCTGCTTCCCCAGGCAAGGAAGTCAGCATTTGGTATTCAGAGCATTTGCAGACCTTAGGGTCGTGCAAAGACAACCTCCGGCTTTCTAAAGAAAAAGCAGCCCTCTGGCCCTCACCTACCACCGTTACAGGAAAGTACCAGTAGCTGTAAGCGGTGATAACTCCTTATATCCTACCCACAGCTAACAGCGTGGTTAACATTTAGAGATCCAAGATGTAGCAAACAACACAAAAGCTTCAGCTTTGACTATCACATAAATCAAGGGGGCAAAAAACATTGAAGGATTTTGCTGTTATCAAAGAGCTAAAGAAAGCAGCATGTTATAACTCTGGCACGAGCAGAAAACAGTCCTCCAGACCTCGCTGCAAACTTTCTGTTGCTGGCTCTGTAACCTGTTGATACAACAGCTGCTGTAAATGAAAAACACTAGCCTTAGTGGTTTGCAGGATTACAGTCTCACTGTCATCCAGGCTCCAGCTTTTGCCTATTTCATTAAAAATTAGTAGAAACTTGTATTAATTCTTTTGCAGTTCCCCAAGGGAAACAATCAGTACTGAGCAGTACAAAGGACACTAGAAAAACAACTCGTGCAGAAAAATATGCCTTTATCTAACTTGGAAACTTTACTTGCTATAGCTATTAAAATAACTACAGATAAGATACTGATGTCAAAAGCACAAACTCAGCATCTTAGGAGCCCTGAACAAATTCTGTTCACATAAGACAAGCCACTTTTTGAAGGACAGAGAGTTTCCCCAACCCCTCCAACTAATATTACCAACAAAAGCAAGAGCAGCACTGGTAAAGCTAATCTGTAACCACCACGCAAAATCTAGAATGCCAGAATCAGACCAACACCTTTGTAATTCTATGCTTAAATCATAATTATCTGGGGCTTCTTTTCATAGAGACACGTAAACAAAAAGCTTCAAGGCAGACGTTTTTACTAGCTCCCTACTTTAACGAGTCTTAACTAACAAAAAAATCGCACACAAAAAAAATTCCTTTCCACAAGTGGAAGACTCATGTTCTGAAGTATGCCTACAAGGCAAGCTTCCCTGTAAATCAACCCCCTCCTTTAAGTGATACACTTCTATGCTCATGTTAGGACATGACACTCACAACACACAGGTGGACGCGTCCAGACTCCAAATAAGATTGCACGTCGATTTCATGCAACCCCAAAGCACCAGGAACGCAGTGCTGCCGTATGCCATCTGATGACACGTCAGAGCCCAACACGGCTTTTGTATGACAGCCCTAAGATCCTATAGCTTCATCCATTCTCATCTGGTAGGACATTGCATCTGAACCAGAAAAAAAACCAACAACAGGAAAATTGGGGACAAACAGGCTGGCGGCTGAGGACAGGAGTGTGCATCAAATGACAAAATTTCTGTCTGTAATTCTGCTACAGATTTTTATCTGTCCACAGGCAAACCTTAGTCTTTCCTTTGTGGAAAGGGTATGACAGATACTCTCTCTCAGAAAAGCTGCAGTGGTACAGTTCTTTGCTGTTTCATCAGTGAATGAAGGGTATTCCTACAGCCTGGATTGTGCAGGGAAATAGGGAAGTCACTACTATGACTCATGGTGCTCTCAGATTTTTCAAACAGCTCAGCAGCAGTGCTGACATGAAAAGCAAGAGCAGCGGAAGCCCCTGCTCTCTGCTTCCTCCTCCAGATTTAGGCAGTGTGGGTGTTATTGTTGGGAACTGCTGCCCTCTGCTGTCACACAAAATAGAGGTGAAATTCTAATCTGACAAAAGCAGGTATGAAAAAAAAAAAAACACACCATGGTAATGATCACAAGGTCACAGTGCATTCAGATTTCAAGTGGGTTCACCCAGGCCCCTCAGTTCTGGTCTTATGCATTTATAAAACACCTGCCCCTTTTTGCAGCGCATCCCGAGAGGCATCTTGCAAGCCAAACCCTGCCTAAAGAATGATTTTACCTAGCCCATCACCTGTGTTGCAGCAGTTTCAAAGGTAAAAGCACCCCGCTATCAGTCCATTCAGCAAAACACCTCTTACTGTCTGTAGATCTTTGTTGTAGTAGATTGTGCACATCACCAGGGAAAGGGCCAGCAAATATACAGCCCCCAGCACAGGGCTTGGACTAGACTGGAGGAATTAAATGCATTACTGTCATCCTTGAGGGGCCATAAACAGTTCTCTCTGTCTCAACCTTCACAGTGGCAGTGCCACCGGGAAGCTCTGCCAACCATTTTAACACTGTCCAGATGGGGAAGCCTAAGTGAATTTACAGGCATATTTTGAAGTCGAGCAAAGACTGAGGTCTGCATATAAGGACACTCCGCAGCCCTCAGGCAGAAAAACCTTGGCCTCATTTTCCTTGAGGTCTGATATCATGCCTCACCTGAGGATGATTAAAAAAAGCATAAAGGAAAAAGGAGAAGATACACTGTGCTTCACAGCACATCACCAGCCTGCCAGCAGAAGAGCAGCACCCAGTTTGCTCCGAGCCCGCAGTAGACACGTCACATCTGCCAGCTTACCTGACTTCCTCACCAGCGAAATCAAACACTTTGGTGATTGTCACTTTTCCTGAATCTTTTGGCTTCTCAGACTCTTTTGGTTTCTCCTGAAGCTTCTTCCCACTCTTCTCTTCTTCAGCCTGTGAAACATAGGCAGGAGAAAACAAAACAATGCATTTGTGGAGCCAAGCCAAATTATCACTCCAAGGGGCCGAGGACCCAACGCAGACCTCAGGTAGCACTGCGATTTGGGCTGGCTGGTCAAAGCAAGTCACCCACAGACAAGAAAAAGGAAACAAACACCCCTGCCACCAGAAGGAAATTCCCCACTTTTGTTCCAGGCTCCCATTGGAGCTCAAGGATCAAAACAGACCCAAAACGAGAAGTGAAATTGTAATTAAATGCAGGAAGGAGCGAGAATAAACTGCTGTGATTCAGAAAGCAAGCAAAAGCCTGAAGACTCTGTTCTCCCAAACTAAGCACCACCAGGCAGTAATGCTGCCAGGGTGGATTATACAGAAATAGGTTTATTTTCACTCAAGAATATAGAATAACAAAACCCATCAGCAGAAAAAGCAAGGCTGATCTTCATAAAGAACCCTGAAGATATTAAGCTATTTGTCAATAACATCTCTTTAATTTGAGAGGGAAATATCTTTATTAAGCTGTCAACAACGCCTCTTAATTTACTCAGTCACAACTACAGCTTTTAACAGCATACATAAAAAAAAACCCTCAGACCCTATAAATAATCAAAATAAAAATGAAAATTCTGGCTCTAAATCAACCACACAATGCAGAGATCTTCCAGCAGACATTTTAAGTCCAAATTAAGAAGTTCACAAAGGGAACAGAAGAACTGCATCTCTCCATAAATTATTCTAGACTATTGATGAACTTTCAAAGACTGCTCATGTTTTAGCAATCTAACCATAAAAGTAGAATCACTCAGAAGAGAACTTTTCCTCTCTCCTCCTCTCTAATTCTACCTGTAACCATCTCAGCTGTTCAGCCAGTAACAACTAAGTCGGAGAGAAGCAGGAGGGTTCAGATGAAAGGACTCTTCTAAAAGTTACAAACAAAGGTTACACAACTACACTTGTTCTGCAGCCTTCCAACAGTTGTAGAAAGAAGCTTCACACAGTGAGGAGAACTGTACTCGCCAGGCGTCGCTGATTCAAGAGTCCAGACTCTTGTTAAAAAATACTTTTTTGGCTGACCACTCAAAAAAAAAAAAAAAAAAAAAAAGACAATTCTAGCAACAGAGGGTCAGTTTTGGTACCTTCTTCCCTTCTACCACCTTCAGTGTGAAACGCTTTGCAAGGCAAATACATGCATTTGGTTGTATTAAGAACCAAATCCTTTTAAATAGCTGATTACACACAGAATTCTCTCTACAGAAAACCTCTGCAGACAGAGAGCAAGAGCATGTTAATGGAGCTTATAAAGGAAACTAGGGAAAGCTAGATTCATTCTTGTTACAAACGTCCATCCCGACATGCAGCATCTTCCAGATGCCCTCACTGTACAAGGACGAAGGGCAAGGTGCAGAGATGTCAGCACAGGTCTCTTCTGCTTCCCCACTCACACACACGGTCTCCCTTTCTTTTTTTTTTTTGAGCATCAGGAAAGGCACAAGCCTCAGGGGAGAGCTGTGCTTGTGGGCACAGCTCAGACCGAAACTCATTGTGCTGCTCCTGTATCACAAGGAGAATCCAGGACCAGGAAGAGAAGCCAAGAGGGCTCCGTGAGACCCTCCAAGATGCTGACAAGGAGCTCCGAAAGCAGCACCATCAGATCACAGACCTCCCCAGTTAGAAGGAAACCAGCAGCTTACAGTTTGCCCCATGGTGGGGCTCCAGACTTACAAAGCAGACGAGGCAGGGGTGAACCCAGCCTCTTCCCGACTCTGACAGACATTAGGTACCAGCTAGAACCAACGTCACATGCTCTAAAGCTTCAGGCCCTTCCCACACATCCTGGGTGAAGGCCCAGGCCACTATTACCTTCTTAGCTTGCGTCACTTGCGTGGCAGCCCCTGCTTTGGGTTTCTGTCCCACATCACTAAGGAAACTGGCCCAAAGAGCATCCTCTTTCCTTTTTTCTTCTTCTTCTCTGTTTCTTTCCACCTGCTCTACACTGTCCACTTCCTCTTCCTCCTCTTCATTCTGCTGAGCCTTTTCTTCCTCTTTCTCATCTGCCTCTAGCAAGAGGCCTCCTTTCTTCCTTTTCCTGGAAGCAGATGCCAAAAAAAAAAAAAAAAAATACTGAGGTACTGCAACACTATTCCAGAGCTGAACTGTAAGCATGGGTGAAGCAACACAATATTTCATATTCTCGTTAAGACATTCTACCTGGGAGATTTCCCCTAATCTTGGGGATGAAGCTACTTAATTAAAAGATGATGCTGTTCAGAAAACACAGTGAGACTGAAGCAGGCAGGCCCCTGAAGTAGACTGGCACGTGCGTGTGTGCATCTGTAAGTACACAATGGGCTCTGGGATGTTGTAGGAACCAGGAGAGGAGGAGAACTTGGCCAAGACAGGAACCAATTTTAAATAAACTGTATATATGCGGCACTGAAAAGCGTTCTGTACTTAAAAAGGCTTATCAAAAGGAAAATAAGTAGCTCCTGGGGAGGGCTTCCAGGCTCGGTGTCTGTCAAGCCTGAGGATCTCTGCCTCTGACGTTGTTTAACGAACGAAGAAAAGCGTTCCTCCGTCCCTCAGCGCTGCGCCCGGCGGAACGAGCACCGGCGCAGGCGGCTCCCAGCTGGGCAGAGCCAACGTCGGTTCGCCCCCCCGGGAACCCGCGTCTGTGCCCAACCGGGGGCGGCTCCGCCCGCGGCCCTACCTGCTGGCGGGGCGGCGGGGGGGCCCCCCCCCCCCGGGGGGGCCGCGGGGGGCCCCCGCCCC